CAGGAATGCCCCCAGCTTGCTTGATCTCTCCAGCCTTCGACACAGCCAAGCACTTCTTCCTGGAAAGACCTTCTCTTGGCGTCTATGATGCCACCTCTCCTGGTTTTTCTCCTGCATTGCCAGACCCTCTTCAGTTCCCTTATCTTCCCCTTGACCTCCTCAGGTTAGAGTGCCCCAGGTCTCAGACACAGCCCTCTACTCTGGCCACATCTCTGTACAGCCCAGTGGGGTTTGAAATACCATCCATGCCATCATGGTGTCCACATTTCTGTCTCTAGCCTGGTGCCCCTCCTCCTCTTTGTCTTTTTTCCTGGCACTCAGCTGTGAAGTCAATCGTCCATTTGTTTGCTTACTTAACTATTACCCAAGTGCCACCACTAGGATGTAAGCACCATGACAACAGAATCCTTGCAGGTCTTGTAGCCTTAGCGCATGGCTCTGTGCCTAGCACCTTCGAGGTACTTATAAATACTCATTAGTTCAGTGGATGGGTGGCTTCTCTCCCGGGAGAGGGTGGCAGATACCTGGTACTGCAGGAAAGTCACGGTGTCCTCAGTCAGCAGCAGCTGGTAGGCCTCTTGGATAGATAGTGGAAGATCTTGGTGGAACAGCTGGATAGAGCCCTGGAAGCGGGGCCAACAGCTCGGCTTGTGAACCGTCCCTGCAGTGGCAAAGCCAATGAGGCAACTTCCCTGCTGATATCCGCGTGCTACGCCCCCCTCATCACAGCAAGAATAGAGCCAACCAGGAAGGGGAGGGAGGGAGAGGGAGGCAGCATCAATAACTTCGACTGGAATGCCTGCTCCCTGCGTGGTATTCTTGTCTCCTGCTCTAGAAATCAGGTTACAAGCTCCCTGAACACTCAGTTGTATATACTTTTTCTCCAATAAAAACGTCCTTCCGGTTCCTTGGTCCCAACCCCTTCTCCACTCTCCGAGGGCCCCACTCACACACTCCAGCAGATACAAGGCCTCTTCCGGGTGAAGCCGCTGCCGGCCCTGCTCTGAGAAGCCCATGGTCTGCCAGAACTTACCCTGCGTGGGACCCAGATCAAATGTCACAAAGGAGCCAGGAGGGCAGAGAAGGCGGGTCCCCTGTCTCTGAACCCCACCGCTCACCGCAGGAGACTTCAACTCCACGAAGCCTTCTTCCGGTCTCCACTCGGCGGCCACCAAACTGCCCCTGGCGAGGAGTAGGGAGGGGTCCGTCTCAGTCTACCGGATTAGTCTACCGGGTCCGTCCGCCCCGGCTTTGCCCCCGCCCCGGCCGGGCCCCCTCACAGACGCTCCACGCGCTCCTCCGCCAGCAGCTGCCAGAGCTCCTCGCGGCACACTCGCAGTCGCTCAGCCTGGGCCGCTGAGCCGTCGGGGAGGAAGTCCTTGGGGCCATGCGAGCGCTGGGGCAGCTTCTGGGACCTGGAACGGGCAGCGAAGAGCTCCGGGGCACTGGGGAAGGAAGGGACGCGGGGTTAGCGCCGCGCAGTCGGGGCCGCTCGGCCCAGGCCTGGATCCCCGTCCCGGGTGCCCGGGCCCTTCCCGGCGCCCACTCCGCGGTCCCGGCGCCTCCCCCGGGCCGGGCCGCGCCGCACCTGAGCACGCGCCCCGCAGGAACCTCCACCGAGGCTGACTCGGGTTCGGGCTCCATGGGGTTGCGGTCTGCCGCTGCGCGCGCGCGCGCGCGCGCGCGCGCGCCCCGCCCACGCCCCGCCCACCGCCGGAACTCCGCGCGGCCCTAGCGCCCGCGGATCCTACCTCTGCTCCTCGGGTCTTCGGATCAACCCACCTGCTTTCCACCTTCCTGGGTGTCCTGGGTCCTAGAGGCTGCCCACAAACGTGTGCCTCGATTCCGGGGGCGGAGAGCTTGCAGGTTTCTGGATTGGGAGGCGCTCCCCTCTCCTATCCCCAGCCCGCCTCTGGGCTTCTCTCTAGTAAAACTTGAGGAGCCCGGCGTTAGAAAAGTGTAGTATGAAGAGTCAAATGCGTGACTCTCCCCTCCGCAGCCCTGGGCTCCTTAGTCCCCACCACCCAAGCTGGACAGGGAGGTTAGAAGAGGGGGTTTAGAAAAGGGAGAGCTTTGGGTTCCTGAATTCCACCTTCACAAACTGAAGGTCACCGAGGGCTGTCAGGTGCAGTCTAGGGAGGTTCAGAGTTCCTTCAGGGTCTTCCGTTGGGTCCCTTCCTACGGGGTCCGAAGCCGGGTTTCCAGGGCCGGGGCGGGTTGGGGGGAGGCGCTGTCCGACCCACGATGGTGCTGAAGCGCCACCCCAGCCCGTCATTAGCACCTCCTCAAGGCTGGGGTCCCCGCCGCCGCCACCGTGGGTCGTTCCGACACAGTCCGCTAGGTGGCAGCATTGCTCCGACCAGTGGCTGTCGGTTGGCGACTCTGGCCGCGGGCGGAGGTCGCCGCGGGAGTCCCGGGAAGGGCGAGGGTCAAAGAGGAAGGGGGTCTTCCCAAGTGGGATTCCTGGGTCTCGGTTCCCAGATCCCTTCACATCACGTCTTCTGTCCCACCCAGTCACAAACAGCGTATCTCACCATTCGGTCTGAACTCTAGAGCCCCGGGTCGCCCGGGGCTCCACAGCCAGGAGGCAGCTGCGCGCACCCTCAGCCCCACCCACGCCGCTTCACCTGGGCGCATGCGCTGACCCGGCCAGCGTCCTCCGTCCAGACCAGAGATAGGGGGCGGGGCCTGACGCGGATCGGGGCGGGGCCGTAGGCACTGACTGACAGTCCGACTGCGCCGCCGGGACGGTCCCTCCGCTCCCGATCCGGCCGGAGGGAGGGGGGAGGGGCGGGATTTCCTGCGGGAGGCGCCGAGCCGGCCTTGGAAAAGGAGAAGGAGGAGGAAAAGGGTAAGGGGGGCAGTGGGAGCCGCCGTCCAGAGTGCCAGGGACCGAGCAGGACCTGCCGGACCCCCAGCGGGGAGGCTGGGAGAGGTGAGACTGCGGGGACTGATCTGAGGGTCAGCACCCTTGAGGGCGGGCACAAACTAACTTTTCTTGCGGGATCCGCGGGCGCCTTCATCTGTCGTGTCCTTCCGTCCTCCTCGCTCCCCTGTACCGTCTTCCCGCATCAATTCCTCCGGCGCTTGGCCCTCCCGGTCCCTCCCGCCGCTTTGTTCCCCGGTCCGCCTGGGCTGGGTTGGGGGGTTGCGCGGCGCTGGACTGGCATTCCGGGGGGCGGGGGAGCCAGCCCGACCCCATGCACTGCCAGGGGCGCCCTCCCCCAATGTCGGCCGCGGGGCTTGAGTTGGAGTGCCATCTGGTTTGGGCTTGGGACTTTTGGGGAGTAAGAGGACCCCAGCTAGGGCCCCAGGCCTGCACAGGTCTCATGCCACAGGACTCGGGCAACAAATTCTCGGCCACCTAGGAACTGACGTAAGCTTTTCCAAAGTGAAGTCTGGGCTCTGGGCCTCAGATTCAGGCTTGGGAGGGCAGGCAGCCCCATTTACCAGCAGTGCCCCGGCTCTCACCTCTGTTCTCCGCCCAGCTGCTTCCCCATCCCACACAAGGGGTGAGGATGGGTCAACAACAGGTGCTGTAAAGCCTCCCTGTCCTGCAGGCAGACACCCCGCCAGAGATGGGGGCCCCTAACTCCCCAGTCCACCCTCTGAATTCATAAAGAGCCCTGGGGCTAGGGCATCCAGCTATTACAGCAAAGCTTGGATAGGGGAGGTTCTGGGGGCAGGCACCTTCCACAGGGAGTGACCCCTGCCCATCTGCCTGTGCCTGACCCTCCCAGGCCCCACCTCCTGGCCCACCGGTTGTCTGTGGGTGTCAGAGCCTCAGGCTGTGGAGAACAGGCTGCTGGCCCGACCTGCCCCAGTGTCGTGCTGCCAGGGCCCCTCCTGCCCCAGGTTGAGGTGCTGCCAGGCCCTGGGGCCTCAGTGACTCAGCCTCCCCCTCCCAGAACACCACCTCCCCGCTTCCAAATACTCCTCTCATGCATGGCGGCTCCCTCCCCCTTTTGAGTGGCTCAGCCCCTCCCGTGACTCAGAAGGGCAGCCAGGGTGATAGGGGGGACTCCCTGGAAGCCCTGTCTGTTCTTTCTCTGAGCCCTGCTTCTGGCACCCTTACAGACTCTGGCCCAGCCTTCAGCAGACCTTCAGCGGACCACACCTTTTGCAGGACCCCTGAGACATGTCCACCGCTGCTGACTGAGGTGTGAGGGAATGCTGGCTGCTCTCTGGGTGGGCACTGGTGCTCCTGAGCCACATTGGAAAGATTGGTGCCCCCAGTCCTGGCCCATCCCTGGGCTGTCGGAAGCTGCAAGCTGATATCCATTCAGATTTCCACACAGCCTCTGCCCCCTCAGAGATCAGCTTTCCTGCTTGTGGTGGCAGCTCACGAAGCACCTTGAGGGGGTACCCGTCAGCGCCTAACAAGAAGCCCACTGCCTGGGACAGCAGACACACTCCCCCTGGACGCCTGGCCCTCCAGAGGGCCAAGGGATGGCACCCTGACACCTCGGCTTAGACCCGTTTCCCTGCCTCTGCCCTGGACTCCTGAGCTCAGAGCCCAGCCCAGGGACCAGGATGGGTCGAGAACAGGACCTGATCCTCGCTGTCAAGAATGGAGATGTGACTGGTGTGCAGAAACTGGTGGCTAAGGTCAAGGCCACAAAGACAAGTGAGTACTTGATGGGGTGACTATCCAGCTGAGACCCTCCCCGGAGTGCCAGGCTGTGGAGAGAGGGCTGGGTGGTCACTCCGATCTGGGGACTTGGGGTGGGAGTGCCTCTATGTGGGAGAGCCAGTGAGGAAGTTGGGTCCCCCTTGCTGTGAACCCTTAGGCAAGTCACTTTACCTCTCTGGGCCTCAGTTTCCTCACCTGTAAAGTAAAAGGATCGAAGTACATTCATTCTAATTTTTTTGAGTGCCTATCGTGTGCCAGGCTCTAAGCACTGAGCCACAGCAGTGAACAAGCCAAACTAAAAGTCCTACCCTCATGGATTTGCCTTTAGCAGGTGGTTTTTCCAATGTGTTCTTTGGAGCCGTGGGGTTTCTGGCAGTGAGTTGGGAAAGACTGAATGGCTAGAGCTCAACCTCCACGCCCACCCCCCCCAGTTCAACCAGAGCATCTGTGTGTTTTTGTCAGCTTGATGGAGATATCTGTAAGATAGCTTTTTAAAGGGAATTCTGCTTAAAACAAAGTTCAACATTATCTAACTGCTTAATAAAGCCCCCATCCCCCTGACTTATCTGCCTGTGTCCCCTGGGGGGGTGTGTCCAAAGTTAATTTTCTGGAGGTCTCTCTGCAGCCTGGGGTCTCTAGTCGACAAGGTTGTGGGAGCTCTGTGCACAGGTGGCCACACCTGACTTCCATCTCCTGAGTTCCTCTGCAGTGAGACCCTGCAAGGAGAGTAGACCTCTGGGCTTCAGGGCAAGCTCTCTGGACTGTCCCAGGAGGACACTGGACTTGTCCCCTTGAGTTCCTGGACCAGCAGGGACAGGAGATGGCTCCTGCCACCAGATTCGGGCTCGGGGAGAGAGGGTCCTTCTGGAGTGCTAGGGCTCTAGCCCAAGACACAGCTTGGCCCTCTGAACAGGAAGGAGTCCCCCAGGCTACCTGAAGATGTCCAATTATCCCCACCCACACCTGGGAGTGTGGGGTGCCGGAAGGAAGGATTTTAAGGGCCTGGGAGTTGTGCACGTGTGTGTGTGTCACCACTTACACGCCAGGGCAGGACACCCGAGATGTAGGGAGATGGAATCGCGAGGGGTGCTCTCTGTGCCCTGGGGGAGTGGATGCAGGGTGAGCCCGATGGGGGAAGGTGCCAAGGAGGGTCCAGGGAGGGCCCTGGAGGCCCCAGGGTGGGAGCCACTGCCCCTCCTCCCCTCACCTCTGTGTTGCTTTTGGCAACCTGCCCAGTAGAGCCTTGGTCGAGCTGCTGCTGGCCTCACAGCCCTGGGGCCTCAGACCTCAAAGTGAGGCCCTCAGGAGGGCAGGTGGCTGGAGGCTGGTGGCAGAAACCTTGTAGCCAGGCTCCTAGGCTCCAGGAAGGTCCCCTGTGCCCAGGGTGGGAAACATCTGTGCAGGAAGATGATCCTTCCCCCGACTCCCCAGGGGACTTGCACAGAGTGTAGGCACAGGCACAGAGCGATAGGGTCCTGGAACCACCTGTCCCCCCTCCCAGTCCTCTGAGAAGCTGGGAAAGCTGGTGACAAAAAGGAGATCACAAGGTGACCTTTGCAGACCCTACAGTTTATGAAATATTGTAAATCCCCTCTGTTCCCTGGGAGGCGGGTACTTCTACATGCACTTTACAGATAAGTAAACTGACACTCAGAGAGGGTTAGTGATTTGCCCAAGGTCACACAGCCATTGTGTGGCAGATCAAAGACAAGCCTGAGCCCTCTGCCCTGTGCTGTCACACTCAGCTGCCCATCAGAATTACCTAGGGATAGTTCTGAAAGTACAGACTCCCCGGTCTCTCCCAGAATTACAGAGTCATCACACAGAGCCTGGGACTCTGCAAATCCGAAAGTTCTTAGATGATTCTGAAGCGGTTCTGAGAAGGGAGGCTGGAAACCCTTGCTCCATACCCAGAAAGGCGAAGGAAACTGCTGGAAGGGAGGTGGCAGGGCTCCCTCTTTTCCCTCTGGGCGGTGGCTAAAGCTTTCTGGCTGCCAAAGAGAAGTGCTCTCTCAGCCTGCTGCATCTGATGTCTGGTCACTGGGGGCCGGCTTTCCCTGCCTACCCAGGTCCTCTTCAGGGAGCAGGTGGCTGGGAGGAGAGGGCTACAGTTGCCCTGGCCTTGCCTCTGCCCTTCCTCCCTCACTCCCCTGCCCCCTTTTCTGAGCTGTCTCCTTCTCTGGCCAGAGGAAATGGAGTGGGCTGGGGGCGGCCTGCTGAGCTCACATCCTCTGCCCGAGCCTAAACCAGGAGGAGCGACCCTTCCACCCGCAGAGCCAGGCCTGGGAAGAAGGTTGTGCCGCAGGGGAAGTGCTAGGAGCCACTGCCAAGAACCTAGGACCCTCCACCCTCCCACCAAGGTCCCCAGTTCAGTCACTCTGAGCCTCTCCCCACCGCCTTTCCGGCCATTGTTCTGGAAAGAACAGAGCCACCCAGCCTGGCCCTGCCCCTGTTCCTGTCCCTTCTGTCATGTTGTCCTTCCACTCCCCGGAGGGGCTGCATCTCACCGCCTAGCTGCCCCAGCCCAGACTGTCCAGGCTGGCAGTAGCTGGAGGGACTTTCTGTGCCTCTTCCCTGCTTGACCTCGTTGTCTTCACTGAGGCTCAGAGAGGTACCAGGGCTGGCCAAGGTCACACAGCCAATAAGAGGGAGAAGAATTTGAATCACGCACTTCCTGCTTCTAGGGCCCCTGTTCTTTCCACTGCCCTGAATGGTTCTGTGTGACAAGGACTTTCCAAGGGGGCTACAGGAAGGCTGGGAGGCCTGGGTTTCTTTCCTGTGGCCCCCACCCCCTCACCTCTTCCGTCACTCTTTGACTCTGTATTTACCTTTTCGCTGTACCACACTCGGCTCAGCCCTAAGTGTAGCTGTCTCCCCCTTCCCATCCTGTGCTCCTCACTGCAGGCTTGGTCCCTCCCTACTGGAATGAGGCCCTGTCTTGCTGGGGTATTCAGGGGCCCACCAGGGCCTGGGGGGCAGGCCTGGACCAGCATACTTGGCACCCTGCCCAGCCTGGTTGAGCCAGGCCTCCTCCTTCCCGGCAGGGGTAGGTTCCAGCAGGAGGCAGGGGCCCGCCTGTGACAGGCACTCTCGTTCCCCTCCGCAACACTCCTCAGGGCCCACCCCCTCCCACGCCCTGGCTCACACGTGGAGCACACCTGTCTGAACCCCGTCCCTGTCCCCGAGAGGGGGATGAACCAGCATCTTCCCCTTGCTCCCCGGGACACAGAGCTCTCTGCTAGGAGCCTGTGGGTGCAGAGTCAGCAGTTACTCCCCTGACAGGGGCTCTGGGGGGACTGTACCAGCTTTCGCTGGAGGACAGCCTCTTGGTAATAATGTAAGGAGTGCTGAATGGTGAGAGCTCCCATCTTTCACAATGGTCAGGCATTGTACTCACAACCCCCCGTGAGCAGCTTCTGTGATCAGCCCATTTTACAGATGAGGACACAACCCGAGAGGTCAAGTGACTTGTCCAAGATCACACCGCTATTATGCGGCAGAGCCAGGGCGTGGTGAGGTCTGTGTGACGCCACCTTCCCCACTATGCTCCTCTCAGGGATAAGCCAGGGCCGGGCAGTGTGGCCTTTGAGTCCAGCCCTGGCAACCACCCTCTCTACTCTCGAGCTTCTGGTACCCTCTCCTTTCTCTCCCAGCCCCCTCGGCCCGTGGGACAATGAGGCTCACTCCTTGGCCCATTCAGGGAGGAATGCCAACCATGTGCTCGTGGGACTGTCCTCTGAGGGCACAGCATGCCAGTCCCCCCCATCTCCGCCCCCTTTGATCCTATAAACAAGCGGTGCTGGGGGCCCAGGGAAGCCAGGCCACTGCTGCAGCGGCGCCCTCCAGCTGATGGGCCAGGGTGGGAAGCCGTAGGGACTGACAGCTAAAGGGCCATGGGGCAGCTGCTTTCCTGCACTCCAAGAGGTCAGCTGGAGGCGGGAGGCGGGAGGTGGGCGGGGAGGGAGCGCTGGGTTAGGTGTGGGCAAGGGCGGATCATTCGAGGGTGCCCTGATGCCTCCCGCTCTGACCCCCAGAGCTCCTTGGCTCCACGAAGAGACTCAACGTCAACTACCAGGATGCTGATGGGTGAGCGGGAGCCCCCGTCCCTCTTGAAAACTGTGTGTGGGGGGAGGGGCAGTGGAAAGACCTGGGGCCTAGAGTCCCTTCCCCTCTCAAACTTGGCCCTTGAAGCGTGTTTGCTGAGAGCTCATGGCCCTGCCCGGGCGCCTGCCCGTGGAGCTATCCCTGAGGGAGGGGAGGGGGCCCTGGTGCCTCTCTGAGAGGCCTCCTTGGGTCAGATTC